TCAGATGTCGGGAGTAAATGACTACTGCTATGTTCATTATTACATCCAACAACAGAACACCTCAATCGCTTAGGAGTCATTCTTGTCTACATCTGCTCCGGCGGTGAAACAATGGGGGACTGATGACAGCTCACTCAGGGCGGGTCTAAGGTAAGACACCAGTCCAGTCTGTGCTGAAACGCTACTGTCAATCAAACTATCGTGGGAGGGGCCTGGCATCTGAGATCGGTTCGATTTGAGAAAGGGGAAAACATTTAACCAGATTAAAAAAAAAACACTGGGTGGATTTTTATCATTATAGGGTGGTTGTGTACACACACTGCCAACAAACATTTCAGTTCAAACAACTTGTAAAAGGGCATGTAGCATCCTATGACCCCTTTACTAGGTGTGTATTGCAAACAACTCATTTATTTAAGTTGAGCTAACTATTGTATTATTTACTGCAACTTGGAATTTCTCACTTGTATTTAAAAATGCCCTTTTGAAACCAAACATAAGCAAAGCAAGCTGGGTTTTCTAGGGTTTTCTGAGTAACAAAGCATAGTACGCAAATAGTACAGATTACTAGATTTTTACAATTAAAATCAACAAATTGTTGTGCATTAAGAAAAGTCAACTAAAACGTGTTAGTTAGGACATTTGTTAGGTTTTAGAGTGTGCAGAAAAATATTGGTAAAAATAACCTCCAATTTTTTTTTACTTATATTAGTAGTAGCCAACTTTTAATCAACATTAACACTTCAAATTAACATTTCTCACAAGTGCAACTGGAATTTTCTTATATCTGAAAGGTAGCTTTTGAAAGCAGACCTGTGATGTCTCAAAATGCGGTTACACTTTATTTCGACAGTCCAATTTAGAAATTCCACAAACTATTTGAAACTACACGTCAGCTAACTCCTATTCATTTGCAACTATACTGTGTGTCAACCAACTCTCATTAGAGTATTGGAAGACGGTTAGAGTAAATAGAACAAGTTGACATGTACTTGCAAATTTTCTTATAGTCAGCAGAATGTCTGACCAGCAAAATATAGTGTCAGCAGATATTAAGTAGACAGTCTACTAATACTCTAATGACTGCTAGTTGACACGTAGTTGCAAAGTTATTTATAGTCAAAAATAAATGTCTAAAGCGGACTATCAAAATAAAAGGCAAGCTAAAATGCTTCCAGCATAGAAAGATCACTAAGTTTTAGAACAGAGAAGTGTCTCTCTGCCCAGGTTCTGCTGGGCAGCTAAGGGAGGGCAGTATTCCACTTTGCGCCATGCACAGGTCACCTGTGCTCACGTCATACTCCTTCCATTTCTGGTATTCCCAGATGGAAATGTTTGGTAATCAATCCAGCTCTCTGTGGGCAAATATCAGCTCCAGATCATTTGTAAACTGAAATGAAAACTCGGCATGAAAGGTAAAACAGATATCAGGTGTTTGAACAGAAGAAAGCTGTTAACGTTCGCATTTATCTCAATGAAAGCTACTTGGCTGGTGCATATAGCCCCTGAACTACACAACCCTGACGTTGGGCACACTGTTACGGAAACAACAGATACAAAAAAGGACAAAAAGGATAAAACAAAATAAAACAAAACAAAACACAAAGAAAAAACAAAAACAAAACAAAGCAAAACAAAACAAAACAAAAAACAAAACAAAACAAAACAAAACAGAAAACTAAATAAATAGGCACTGCTCTTGATTAATGGTGGATGTGGAGATGTTTGGGAAACCCATTTGGAAACAATTTACACAAACCATTTTGGTGTAGAAATTACGCACAATTTAACAATTTGTTTATTTTGTCTATTTATTTATTTGATCAAGGATAATACACAGCAAATACATGAGTGTTAATTTATTGGTGTTACTTGTGAGTGTTGAGATTTAGAGTAGTTGTAACACTCCTCTGTATTAGACATAACACTGCTGGAGTAAATAGCATGAAAGTGTTATTGTTGTTATTGGCAGTAGTGTTTTTCAACTTTAATTAACATTTCACACTACCCCACGCCCGTTTTTCAACTTTGTTTCGCATGGACGGCCGCGATTTTGTCATAGCACAATTTCTCCGTAGAAGCAAGGTGAGCTATGTTTTTTTATTACACAAATTTTTATACGTTTGATAAACCTTCATATATGTAAAATGATTTTGCTAAGGTAATTTCAACAATGTTAGGTAATTCCTATGATTTTACTTCAGTTCGCTTATATGAGTAAAACATACAGGTTATTTATTTACTTTTGTATTTAAACTTATTTTTTTCCTTCATACCTATCATTACTGCAGTTCGATTTAGCACTTAAAATGGCGCCATGAGACATTCACGTGTGTGTTTTTTCTTAACTTTTTAAAACATAGCATATAAATATTTGTATGGTCTCCTCAGAACCTTTCATTCCCATTGTCCAGTAAAGGTTGCACAACTTTGCATACCACTTCAAAGCACTTACAGACAGGTTTTATTGTCAGGGACTTGATGGTAGTTAGAAAATTATAATGAAAGATTGGGAAAAAATAATGGGCATCAGAAACTAGTAACCACATTCTTCAGAATATCTTCTTTTGTGTTCAGCACAAGAAAGAAGTTGATACGGGGTT